GTTATGTGCCCTCGAGTCGCTTGCGACTCATAGTGACCCTATGTACAACATCCCTAAACTCTGCACTGTCCTGTGCCAATCGCACCATCTCCGATACAACCAATGCCTGTATCAGACGCACCTTAGTCTCCAAAGAGACACCATTGCTCTTCAGTACTTTGGACAGGTCCCTAACAACAGACTTTCCCATGCCAGTACATCTTCTAATTTCCTGGCTGCTGGTGCCAAGAGTGTTAACTGTGGAGCCAAGCAAACTGAAGCTGTCAAACGCCTTTGCATAGTCAATGAAACACAGATAGACATTCCTCTGGTACTCCCTGCTTTCAACTAAGATCCATCTAATATTAGCTACAATATCGCTAGTACCACGACTCCTCTAAACCCAGCTTGGACTTCTGGCAGTTCTCTGCTGATGTGTTGTTCCAGTCATTTTTGGATAATCTTCAGTACAATTTTGCTTGCATGTGACATCAATGAGATTGTTCTATAGTTTCCACACTCCGTTGGGTCACCCTTCTTTGGGATGGGAACAAATATAGATCTCTTTCAGTCAGTTGGCCAAGTGGTTGTTCTCCAGATTTCTTGGCACAACTTGGTGAGCACGTCCAGGGCAGCATCTGTTTGCTGAAATATGTCAATTGGTATACCATCTATTCCTGGGGCCTTATTTTTTGCTATTTCCTTCAAAGCAGCTTGACCTTCTTCCTTCATCACCATCGGGTCTTGCTCATATGTTGTTTCATGAAATTCTTCTGTGTCTGCCAGTCCCTTTTGATACAGTGACTCAGTATATTCTTTCCATCTTCTTTTAATACTTCCTGGATCATTTAATATTCTGCCTAAAGCATCCTTGATTATGCAACTCAAGGTTTGAATTTGTTCTTCAGTTCCTTGAGCTTAAGAAATGCTGAGCGAGTTCGGCCCTTTTGATTTTCTGACTCCAACTCCTTACACATTTCATTGTAATATTTTACTTTGTCGTCCCGTGCTGCCTTTTGAAATCTTCTATTCAACTCTTTAGTACCTTGAATTCTTCCCTCTGCTTTGGCTTCTCTGAGCTCCAGTGCAATTTTCAGGGTCTTGGTCTTTTCTTCCTCTTCTGTCTTTGTAATGAACATTTTCACTCTTCTTGAATGATACCCTTGTGGGAGATTACAACTTAAGCCTTGAAGTTATTCTTCAGTTTCTTCAACTTCAGAAATGCCGAGCAAGTTTAGCCCTTTTGTTTTTCTGACTCCAGCTCTTTACACATTTCATTAAAATACTTGATCATATAGGCTTTATTATTTTCTTTTTCTTTTGATTTTAAAAAAATTTATTTTTGTTATGTGTCTTTACTTTGACTATGACTCATACTGACCCTATGAACAGAACCTCTGAACCTTGCGCTATCCTAAGCCAGTAGTCTCTGACACACCTCACCCCATTGCCAGTCACTGTGTAAACCTATCTCATCTAAGGTCTTTCTCTCCTGTTCTGACCTTCCACCCTTTCAGACATGATGTCCTTCTCCAAGGACGGGTCAGTCTTGGTTACATGCCCAATATATGTCAGATGGAGATTCAAAGTCTTTGTCTCCAAGGAGCAACCTGGTCTCACCTTCGCCATGACAGAGCTGTTTGTTCTCTTGTCAGTCCATGGTATGTTTATTACTCTTCTCTAGCACCACAACTCAAAGGTATTGATAGACAGCATTCATTTTAAAAGTATTAATCCTTTTTAATATCCCTTATTTGTTGTCATTGTTGTTTTGGGCTATTGTTGAGTCTTGAGTCAACTACAACTTACAGCAACCATATGAACAACAAACTGAAGCTGCTGTATATCCTGCTCCATCCATGCTCAAGCCTGTTTTTGTAGGTAGTCACTATGTCACTGGGGATCTTCCTCTCTTTCTTTGATCCTCTACCTCTCCCAGCAGGATGTCAGTTTTCAAAGCCTGGCCACTCCTGACACATTCCCAAAGTATGTGAAAAATACATTTCACTATCCTTGCCCTAGAGGAGCACCTGGTGCTATCTCATCCAAGGCAGGATTGGTTTATTCTTTAGGCAGCCCATTCAGTATTCACTGCCCTTTGGCAGCACCTCAATTCAAAGCCATCAGACCTTCGTTGGTCTTCTTTTATTCATTGTCCAACTTTCAGATGCATACAAAGCAGTTGAAAATAATATAGCTTAAGTCAAAGACATAGGGGCCCTTTAAGCTGACATCATTGCTCTTTAGCATTTTTAAGAGGTCCTTGTAGAGCATAATGTATATCAATGATTGAATGAAAACCAATAAAAATAAATAAATAATAAAGTATATGAGATTGAAAAGAAGCTCTGGTGGCCTAGTGAGAAGAAGCTGCACTGCCATCCCAAAGGCACCCAGTTCAAATAACCAGCTGCTCCACGGGAGAAGGATGGACAATCTCTTTCCATGGATTCACTGCCTCTGAAAACCCACTGGAGAGTCAGCTATGTGTCGGTTCTGACTGTATGGCATGCAGAAACATGAAAAGGAGTCCTCTCCACAGCTGACCTGCCAAAGTCAGTCCTTTTGACTTCTTGACTGCTGTGACCCTGGGCATTGATTGTGGATCCAAGTAAAATGAGATCATTGATAAACTCCATCTTTTCTCCATCTATCACAATTGCTGTTGGTCCAGTGGTGAGATTTTTGCTTCCTAATTAGCCTGTGTGGTCTCACTGATTTCTTAGTTCTAGCCTCAGCCTCTTCCTTTGCCATTTAGTCTGAGCCAAGTCGGTCAGCCTCATTTGGCCTCCCAGGTGTTAAAATTACCTGAGAGTTTCTGGCAGACTTGCAGCTGTGTATCCTGTCATCTTCTCCTCTGCTTCACCTTCTTCCATAGATCAATTGAAAGTTCTCTCTTCAGTTCTCTCTACTTTCTTCTATTTCCTGCTAGTCTCATCTGCTGTAAGTTTGTTTATTGATGTCATGTCCTGTCAAGGTGTACAGAACCTCATGGTTTTGTTTTGAAGCACAGCTCCTTGCCACTAAGCGACCAGATTAGAAGAGTCAAACAAGATTATGGTTTGGGAAGAATTACTCCTCCAGGGAACCCCTCCCTTGCTCACTCTCTGGGTGATCCCATCCACCCATCCCCTACCACCTGCTTGACCCTGCGCTGGGAGCAGCCTGCCTGTTCCTCTCCTGAACTCACCCTGTTCTCCCTATTGAATCACTGAAAGGACTTTAAACTCAGTAGGTTTCCTTGCTCCCTCCCTGATGGCCAGGTGCATCCCTTAAAAGCCATTGCAATCTGTGCTGTTCTGAGAGTTGTAGCTGTTGAGTCGAGTCCGACTCATGGTGACCCGGTGTGCAGCAGGACAGAATGCTGCCCAGTCCTGGGTCATCTTCCCAGTCTTGGTGTGTTTGAGTCCATTGTTACAGTTACTGTGTATTTTGAGTGTCTTCTAGCAATGTATTAAACAGTATTCAGATGTGATCCATAGGATTATCATTAGCTAATTGTAGTAATAGATCCCAGGACATTTCTTCCTAGACTTAGTCTGGAAGCCGCACTGAAATCTGTCCACCTTAGATGACCCTACTCCGATTTGGAATACTCGTGGAATAGCTCCTTGCATCACAGCAACATACCAGCCACCACATACTGGCCAACTGACGTCCAAAGAGTGGAAGTTGTTATTGTTAGGTGCTGTCAAGTATAACTCATAAGGACCCTGTGAAGAAAAGATCTGTCCTATCCTGTGCCTTCTTCACAGTCTCTGACATAATTGAGCCCATTGCTGTAGTCTGCAGACTCTGTAGCAATCCATCTGGTTGAAGGTCTTCCTCTCCTTCACTGTCTTCCCACATTTCCAAGCATGATGTCCCTTTCCAAGGAATAGCCTTTCCTAACAACATGCCCAAAGAATGAGAGGTGAAGCTGTATCATCTTTGCCTCAAAGAAGCATTCTGGCTGCACTTTCCCCAAGACATATCTGCTTGTTCTTTTGGCAATTCATGGGATATTCAGTACCTTTCTCCAACACCACAGCTGAAAGGCATTGATTCTTCTTTTTTTTTTTAATTATTCTTCTGTCATCCTTATTTATTGTACAACTCTTAGATGCATAGGCATTGATTGAAAATACCATGGCCTGAGTCAGTTGCACCTTGGTCCTCAAACTGACATCATTGCCCCTCAGTAATTTGGAGACATCCTTGACTGCAGACTTCCCCAGTGCAGTTCTCATTTCCAGACTGGGTAGTAGTAGAGGGCATTCAAGAAATTAGTAGTAAAATAAAGAGCTGTGATACCAAAATGGTTACATACTTGGCTGCTAACTGAGAAGTTGGCCACCCAAACCCTCAAGTTGCTCTGTGGTAGGAAAAAGCTGGTAATCTGATGCTATAAAGGTTCACTCACCCACTCATTTGCTCACTCAGTGCCACATGAAGCAGACCCAACTCACAGCTGAGCCTCTAGCAGGTTTTCAGAGGCTGTAAATCCCATAGGAGATTTCTTATATTTCTCCCACAGAGTAACTAACAGGTTTGAACCACCAGAGAAGCTCAGATTTTGAGTTAGCAGTGCAACTCCTTATAGACTGCCACCCGAGCTCCCTTCTTATAAAGATTACAGTCGAGGAAACCCTGTGAGCAGTTCAGCTCTGCCCGGTGGGTCACTAGGAGTTAGAATCTTCTCAAAGGAGCACAGCAGCAATAGTAGTTCAAGCAGCCTGGTTTCTTCATTTTCCTGTTTTCTCCGGTGTGTTCTTTTGTTACTTTTCCTTTTGTCTTGCTTTAGTCATAATATCCTCTTGTCATCTCCCTTTGTTCTGTTCTTTTCTAACAGGATGAGGTTGAAGGGCAAGGTGGCCAGGGTCTACCTACCCTCTGTAGGATTTCAGATAACTCTCTGGTGTGTGGAGTTTTATGTTTTGGGTTTGTACCTTTACCTATTCAGTTAGAAAATGAGCTAGGTATCCAGACTCTGAACAAAGCAATTTGTCACCTGATGGCCAAATTGTTTTCTCCATTTTCAGGTTCACTACAACATTGGCAAAAACCTAGCTGATAATGGTAACCAAACAGCTGCCATCCGATACTACAGAGAAGCTGTGAGGTACAGCACACATGTTGTCTCCCATAAGAAATGTCATTTATATGCATGGAATGTTCTAGCCTCCTAAGATGAAAAACCTGTCCCCCTTAGGACCCCACCATTAAGAAAGCCTTGCCAGTTCCTGAGAGATTAGTGAACACAGCTAAGCATTAACAGACGGCTTGGATTCTCTCCGATTTTCAGATTAAATCCCAAGTATGTTCATGCCATGAACAACCTTGGAAATATCTTAAAAGAAAGGAATGAGCTACAGGAAGCCGAGGAACTGCTGTCTTTGGCTGTACAGATTCAGTAAGTATTATTTCCTATAATTATGCAAGTGGCAAATGAGTTCTTGCATTTCCTTGTCTAAATCTTTCTCTTTTTTCTTATTTATTCTTTTTAAAAATGCTTCTGTAGGCCTGACTTTGCTGCTGCCTGGATGAATTTAGGTATAGTGCAGAACAGCCTGAAGCGTTTTGAAGCAGCAGAACAAAGTTACCGGACAGCAATTAAGCACAGACGAAAATACCCAGATTGTTACTACAACCTCGGACGTTTGGTAAACTGAGGGAGCTCTGGTGGCTGGTGAACATTCTTTTTTCCTTACTTAGAAAGCAACACATCTGAGTTTTGTTTGACTTAGAATAAAAATGGCAGTAGTAACACATCTAGCACTCCGCATTTTATAAAGTGCTTCCACATATGTTGCTCGTCTTTGAAGGTTGCTGCTTGATTTCCTTACATGTTTGGGTTTTTTAGCTCTAACTAGAAAGCAATGCAACTCAAATTAGTCATGCTTAAGAGATCACAAAAGCATTAGGTTAGACTAAAGAATAAGTTATATTTTTAAGGCCCTTAATCCCTGTGAAACAACACCCAAGGGGTCACTTCCTGATAAACATCAGTTTCTCTGCTTTGAAAGGTTGAAAAGAAAAAAAGAAAAAAAAAAGCTGAGCCTAAGAAAAAAAACAAGACCTTAGTGTGATGTCTGAGCTTCCCGAATTCTCCTTCCTCAGAGGAACTGCTCCTTTGATTTTTCTGGACAAAGAAACAGGAATTCTTATCTTTGCTCCTCAACCAACCCTTTCATTTGATTTTAAAGCGGAAGAGGATATGTGTTTTGGGGTTTTTTCTCATTATTTGTATGTATCATCCATTTGATGCCTGATTTGTGGGGATCCCATGCACAGGTACATGAAATGCTAGCTAGCCCTATGCTGTCATTGGATTGGTTGTAGATCCAGCAGTTGTGATCTGTACAGTTTTTCTTGACTGATTTCTGGGAATAGATTACCAGGCCTTTCTTCATGTTCCATTTTAGAATAGTATGGAAGGTCTGTTGAAACCTGTTTAACATCATGTTTTGTTGTATTGTGTTGTGTTACATTACATTACGTTGAGTCAGAACTGACCAATGGGTTTTCAGGGGCAGTAAATTGCACAGGAAAAGATTATCCATTTTTCTCGTGAGGAGCAGCTGGTGGATTTGAACTGTATATTTTCAAGTTGGCAATGCAGCTCCTTACCACCAGGCCACCAAAGCTAATGTATTTCTTCTAGAAGAGCTGACATATTTCTCCTTGGGCACAGGGGAGGGTGGCAGTAATGTAGCCCAACCCAGGGAGCAGCATGATGTCTCCACTAGGGTGATTGGATGCGCAGAGATGCCTGTTGTCCCACCTAACTTTCTTCGGAGTCACTTGATCTTGAATGAGTTTCTATTTCCTTTTACATTTTAAAATTCTGTGTTTTATGATCCAGTTATACACTTTGATGTTGAGGTGAAACCTGAAGATTTGAAGAGAGTTAAAATTGGTCTAGTGAGAAGGTGTCCTCTCTGAGAAGGAAAGAGATAGGGGAGGACAGTAAAACCTCAGCACCATGGTTAAGTACAGGCTTAAAGCTGCAGTCACATAAAATGCAGGATTGAGTCTCATAGAGTTAATGAACTGAGAGTGTGGGACCAGAGAATGGGAGTTAACTTCTGTTTACTGTGTCTGTTAAACTAGAAAAAAGAAGCTCTAGTGTTGCAATGATTAGGTTACCAGCTGTTAACCTAAAGTTGGCAGTTTGAACCCACCCACAACCTCCTGTCTCTGAGGGAGAAAGACAGGAAAATCTGCGCCCATAAAAATTACAGCCTCAAAAATCCAATGGGGTGGCTCGGCTCTGTTACCTGAGGTTGCTATGAGTTGAAAATCAACTAAACAGCACTTAACAACAACGTTAAACTCACACCTGGGTGACATAGTTGATATCCTTAAAAAGTCTTTCTTTAAGGGATTCCTTTTAGGCTGTTGCTTGTAAAGTGACTGTAGCTGCAGCCTCCTAAATTATTTAAATACTTTAAATCTCTAAGGCTCAGCAGAATTTTTCCCCCTTTATTTCTTCCCTAGTAGCTGCCTGTCACTACAACGCCTTGGGATTTGGAAAACAGAAAATTTATGCCAAGTTAACCTTCCACAAGAGTTATATCTGAAGGATAAAGGAGCATAGAATATAAAAAATAGGATTTTATCATGTGCTCCCATCCCTAGTATTTGCTGCCCCTGTAACTTAAAAAATCATCCATTGTTTGAATATATTGAAATCTTGTACAGCTTTTTGTTATGTTATTTGCTAACAATGCTACCATGAAATGATCTTCCTGTGTTCTTGTCTGCTGTTCTTATTTAAAGCTCTCTGTTGTTGTTTAATTATCTGGCTTTTGCCATCTTGACAGTTTAAAAGCGTTAAGAGCTTAATCTCTAACAGCTCAACCAGCACATTTATAGATTGGTGACTAAGAGAAACTTAAAAGTTTCTTTTTTAGAAGTCCTCATTGTCACTCTTTAGTAATTGGAGTCTGAAAGTTGTTTTGATTCCTGTACCCAGGCAAGAAGGCTGTGTGATATGGTTCTCTAGTGGAATAAGACATTAGGAAGAGCTGGATTATTTGTGAGGCACAGTAGATTGAGTGTTGAGCTGCTAATGGGAAAGTTGGTGGTTTGAATTAACCAGTTGCTCCTAAGAGAATATGTGGCAATCTGCTTCTGTAAAGATTTACTATCTTGGATACATCATGATGTATTCTGCTCAGTTTTATTGTTGTTGTTTTTGTTGTGTTGTTATGTGCCATGGAGTCATCTACGACTCATAGCAGCCCTGTGAACAACGGCTCTGAACCTTGTGCCATCCTGAGCCAGTCTGACCATTTCTGACTCATCTGACCCCACTGCCACTCTCAATCCATCTCATCCAGGGTCTTCCTCTCCTGCACTGACCCTCTACTCTTCCAAGCTTGATGTCCTTCTCCAAGGACTGGTTCCTGCAGAACAGATGTCCAAAGTACGTGAGACAGAGTTTCAAAATCCTCGCCTCCCAAGACCAACCTGATTTCACCCTCTGCAAGACAGACCTATTTGTTCTCTTGACAGTCCATAGTATGTTCAGTACTCTGCTCCCGCACCACAACTCAGAGGAATCAGCTCAATAGCAGTGGGTCATTAAGTACTCGAAAAACTCAAATTCATTGCTCATTCGTGACTCCTCACTGACCGACCCTTCATTGTGTTTTTGGAGTTATAAACTGTACAGGAGATTGTCCAACTTTCTCCCTTAGAGTCACTGTTGGATGCAAACTGCCAGAGAGATGCAGCTAACCCACCAGAGTTCCTAATTTTTAAGTACAGAAGATGTAATATAGGGAATTGGTTGAATCATTACTGGAAGATTGGAAGAACACAGATAAGTGCTGTAACTCAGATTGAGAACTAAAGAAATAGCTACTTCTTACAAGGCTGGAGAACAAAGAGAAGAAGAAAATAGCACTACTAGAATGTAAGAGCTTGGAGAGGAGCCCTCTGTCTCACTCAGGGCCTACCTCAAGAACTGAGGTCATGGAAAATGTCTGCCCCTTCTGGACCTGGGATCATGGAGAAATCCACTGCCTCCAATCCTAGCACTGGGATCAAAGAACATAACCAAGTGACGAGAAAGAAGGAAGCGTGAGAGAGAAGAAGCTGCTTCCCCCACCACCTCATCTCCACTGGTAACTGCAGTTGGCAGTAACTTAGCAAGAAGCCAGGTAGCAAAGGAGCTTTAGGAATGGTGGGCATAGGACTGAGAAACAATATGTAAAGAGCACTCACATTTTCTGTCTCCTGTCTGGGTGGCAAACTCAATTCAAAACTCATTGCTATTGGCTTGGAATCAACTCCAAACTGACTCTTCTTTGGGTTTCAGAGGCTAAGAATAGCATGAGAGCAGAATGCCCATGTTTCTCCCACGGAGTCCTTGGTGGGTCCAAAACCATCAGAGACACACGACTTGCCTTTCTGGTGGGTAATTCTTATTAAATCATCCCTTTTTCTCGGATCCCTTTAAAGAGATTATTCCCTTTGTAGAGATAGTAATTAAAAGAGATTGAGGTAGAATAAAAGTAAATTTTACTTGTTCTGTTGTTTTTCTTCAGTATGACTCTGAGAAGAATGGGAATCCCAGACCATTTGATTGTGCTAATGCGAAACCTATACTTGGACCAAGAGGCAGTTGTCAGAACAGAGCAAGGAGACACTACATGGTTCAAAATCAAGAAGGGGGTTCGTCAGGGAAGTATTCTGTATCCATACCTTTTCAATCTGTATACAGAACAGATCATCTGAGACACTGGACTATACGAAGAGGAGTATGGCATCAGGATTGGTGGAAGAATCTTCAACAACCAGCGTTATGCAGATGACACAATCCTGCTTGCTGAAACTGAGGAGGACCTGAAGCACTTGTTGCAGAAGATCAAGGACTGCAGCCTCCTATATGGATTGAAGCTCAACATAAAGAAAACAAAGATTCTCACCACTGGGCCAATTGGCAGCATCAGTATGGATGGTGAAGAGATTGAGATAGTTAACAGTTTTAGTTTACTTGGTTCCACAGTCAACACTCTTGGTAACTGCATCCAGGAAATCAAGAGACGAATTGCATTTGGAAAGCTGGCTGTGAGGGACCTCTCAAGAGTACTGAAGAGCAACGACGTCAGACTGGAGACTAATTTTTTAACTTCCACCTCATTTCACCTCTTAGATGTTAACATATTGTAACTTGAGCTTCTGAGACTTTGGAAGATCTGATAGCATCTTTTTAAAAATCAATATTTGTATTATTACAAATTATACATTACAAATATTACATTTAATGACTGTTTTCCCAATTCATTAAATCTTTTCTTTTCTTGCATAATATGCAACCTACTTGCTGTGTGGGTCATAGGGCAAGTCATAATATTTCTGTTGTCTAATGAAAAGACAGCCTTGGCAGGATATACTGAAATAGCCTTGAACTCTGATAAATAGCTATCATTTGTACATTTTCCCAGGTTGAAGGAATCAGGTACTTTCAGAAGAAATGTGGATATAAACTGAGCTAAGAAGGCAGAAGGGTCACCAGCTGAAATCCCATCATTTTCTCCCTCAGTCTAGTTTTATTGTCTATGCAAATTGAGAACCAGCCATTTTGCACTATTATTGATATAAATTTCTTTTCAAAGGAAAATAAGGCATAATCTCTCTAACTTAAAGGAGGTAAACAGGCCCTCTTTTTCCAGTGTACTACATTGCTGCATAATAAGTCTTTGCCCAAGAGTTTACAAAGAGTTTCTGATAGAATACCTTCTACCATATTTTTACATTAAGTTTAGGCAGAAAGAGGCTACTAGTCCATTCTTCAAATGTTGAATTTGATGCATAAAACTTTTCAGAGAAATACTTTGTTTACTGCCCTCAATAATATTTTATCAGTATTCTCTGAAGTCTTTTTTGGGGGGAAAAATACCATAATGACTAGGTTTTAACTTCATTCTTTTCAGTAGTCTGAAACACAGGTTGGCACTAAGTAGTAGATTATAGGTAAAAGATTGCAGACTCCAGCTAAACTCTTTGGTTCTGTCCCCACTTGACCATTTCTGAGTGTGTCACTTCAGGCAAATATCTTAGCCTGTCTGTGAATCACTTGCTCTGTCTATAAAATGTGGATGGTAATAGTCTTTAATTCAATGGGATTGTTGGTTTTAATAATTAGATTCATTAATATAAAGAAATTAAATCAGCAAACAACCTAAAGGTCCATCAAGAAATGAATGGATAATCCAAATGTTCTCCTTGCATACAATGGATTATTTCTTAACCATAAGAAAAATAACGTCCTGATACACGTCACAGCATGGATAAACCTTGAAAACTTTATGCTGAGTGAAGTAGTCCTTTACGCTAGGACAATTAATGTGTGATCATGCTTATGTGAAAGATCTAAACTAGACAAATGTATAGAGGGCAAAGTTTATTGGGGGCGGGGAGAGAAAGGGGAGGTCATGGCATGTGGGCACTGAGGGTCTGTTAATGGTGATGAAATTGTTTTAAAAGGGTTAATGGTGATAATTACACAACTTGAGGAATGCAGTCATCATATTTATACACACACATGCATATAAGGGACTCACATAGCCTAGTCAGTAAGGGAGTTGCACTGCTAACCCAAATGTCAGTGGTCAAATCCACCCACTGCTCCCAGAGAGAAAGATGGGAAGTCTCCTTCATGCAGTTTTCTGCTTCTGGAAGCCAACTAGAGGGTCACCTGTGGATCAGCAGCAGTGAGCGAGTGATACATGCATGCATACGCGCATGAGAGCCCAGGCCGTGGTGTTTCTAATTACTTTTATGACTGTGAAAGTTGTACAGTGAATAGAGAAGACCATGAGTTGCCAAAAGAATAAACAAATCTATCTTGGAGGAAGTGTAACCAGGATGTTCTTTAGAGACAGGATGGTGAAACTTCATCTCACATGCTGTGTCAGCATGTACCAGTCCTTGGAAAATGACATTATGCTTGGAAAAGAGGGTCAGCAAAAGAGAAGACCCTCAGTAAGATGGATTTGCACAGTGACTGCAACAGTGGGCTTAAGTATGTCAGAGATTGTGAGGATGTCACAGGATGAGACAGGATTTCAATCTGTTGTCTGTACAGCCATCATGAGTCAGAGATGATGCAACAACAACACACACATACATAAAGGAGCACTGATGGTGCTGTGGTTAAGGCATTTGCTTGATAACCTAAAAGTTGTTAGTTGTTTGAATTCTCAGGAGAAAGATGAGACCACCAAATATCCATTGTCTTAATCCTCCTTAAGCAGATGTGGTGCAGTGGATTAAGTGTTGAGCTATTAACCTAAAGATTAGCTGTTGGAATCTATCAGCCACTCTGTGAGGGAAAGAGAATGCTGTGTGCTCACATTCAAATTTATAACTTTGGCTATTCTGTGGGACAGGTCCACCCGTCCTATGAATTGGAATCTGCTAGGTGAGCTCTGGTGGCATAGTCCAGAGGGAAGTGCACTGCTTACCCACAGGCAGCACCTCTGGCAATTTGAATCCACCAACAGCTCTGTGGGAGGAAAATGGGAAACATCAAAAACCCCTAGAGGGTCAGCTATGGGTTGATCCCAGCTTGACAGCGATGAGTTTCAGAGTTATTTGTAAAACCACAATGAAACAAATCTTTAAAAAAAAATAGAAGCTCAAGAATACAAAGTTTATAAAATTCCTTTTGGTCATATTAGAGAGGGGCAAGTAGAAATATTGTGATACTGATATCAAGTGCATATTTATTCTCAGTATGCAGACCTGAACCGCCACATGGATGCATTGAATGCATGGAGAAATGCTACCGTGCTGAAACCAGAGCACAGTCTGGCCTGGAACAACATGATTATCCTCCTCGATAATACAGGTACAGAACGTTGAAGCAACCAGAGTGGAGGAACTATGTACCCTGCCCTTCAGTGATTGGGAAAGGTCGATCATTATGCTTCCCACTCCTCACCCTCGTGTTTGCTCGTGTTTTAAAATCATAAATGTGGGGTTAAACATTTTGTACTGGAAAAAATATTTGCTTCCAGAAAATGGATCTTGCTTCAACATGTTGGAATGTAAGTGTTTGGAAAGATGACACTTCTTTCTGAATTGGTATTGAGTTTGGGGAAGAAGTGTAATATTAGCCCATTCTTCTGCAGCCTGTTATCTGACAGTCCTTCATCTGGAAGAGGCCCAGCAGTAGGCACAGATGGTTTCTGGGCTTGGGAAATGGATGTTTCAAGATGCTCTGTAACATGCGTAGACTGTGCTCAAAGAAGACTCTACAGTCTATACTGAGCCCTGGGTTTTTATTTTATCAATTATCTAGTTTTTTAGCCCATAATTTCCCCAAACTACTTGCCATAGAGTCATTTCTGATTCATGGTGACCCCTGGGTGTGCTCAAGGATTTTCAACAACACGTTGTCTGGCCTCTCATCCAAGGCTCCTTTGGGTGGGTTTGAACTCCCAACCCTTCTTTTAGTAATTAGGCACTTACTTGTGCCACCCAGAGACATCTGAACCCATTTAGAAAGTTGCTCTCTTTGTCTTAGAAATCTACATTTTCTTTAAGAAATGATCTTTTTAATTTGTCAAATTTTAAAGTTAGTAAGGCATTGGAGCAGTGTGAGAGAAAGATGTATTCTTATTTCTAATGATAATACAGAATTTTCACTTTAGTATGATGAATATTCAGTTATTACAGTGTTTCCGTCATACTCTTTATTTGCAGGCTCATTTTCTCCAGTTTGAATTTAACTGATATTTGGGGGGAAATAAAGCCTGTTTTATGTGCTTTTACAGAACTTAACAAAAAAATTATTTCTATATTATGTCAGAACTAGGCTGAACAGCAGCAATTTAGCCACTGCTAGGATGTGTGTATGTGTGTGTGTGCGCGCGCGCGCACACACACACACATTACACATTCATCATTGATTTAATTAGGAAGTTTATTCAGAATCATTTTATACTAAACACACAATACTTTTAATTGTAGAGAGAAACTAAAATGTTAAGGTAGTTTTTGTTTTGTATTTTTCTCTTCTTTTTATTCATAGGTAACTTAGCCCAAGCTGAAGCAGTAGGAAGAGAGGCACTGGAATTAATACCTAATGATCACTCTCTTATGTTCTCATTGGCAAACGTGCTGGGGAAATCCCAGAAATACAAGGTGTGTAAACTGTAGTATATTATTTCTCACAGTAAGTACTAGCATCTGGCGGAAGCTGTACACGTTAGCTGTGCCTGGTTAAATTCAGAATTAAGAACAGTGGTGGCAGGACACCAGATATGACTTGGTCAGTGTGCTTCCTGGAAAAGTTGCCCAAAACATAGGTTTTTAGGTTTACGTTTGGTTTCCTTTCTCCTCAAAATGTGCCATGGTCTCTCAAGCATGGGCAGGGAAAGAGAAGCCCATGGAGAGGACAGTGGAAAGCAGAGGGCTGCTGAGCTGTGCATGGATAGTAGGGAGGACTAGCTCAAAGGCAGTGTTGAGTTTGCCCTGGTAGGCGTGCAGCCAACACCCTCCATTGAGGTGGGAGCTCTGGGATTTCTGTCAGTGGTGTTTTCTGCACATAGAAAATAAATGAGCTTATGAAAAAACATGGCTGAGTCTTAAACTTTAAATTTTTCATCTCTACTAAATTATAAGTAATCTGTGAGGCTGGAGAAGTTTTAACCAGTGAAACCAATGAGCTATTCTAGCAGTGCTCCAGTTAGGCTTTTACAGTAGACCATGAATCAGAAAGCACATGATTCCCTGTATATTCAGAACACACACACACACACACACAGAGTTAACATTAAGTCAGTTCTGACTCATGGTGGCCCCATGTGTATCATACTAGAGCTATGCTCTGGAGGGTTTTCAGTGGCTGATTTTTTTATTAGTAGGTCAACAAGTCTTTTTTTCTCAGAGTGGATGGTTTCAAACTGCCAGCTATTTGATTAGTAGCCAAGTACTTAACTGTGCTATCCAAAGGATGCCTCCTATTTATTTATTGATTAAAGGAGACTAGGACTTTATGAGGAAGAATGTGGCATCAGGATTGGAGGAAGACTCATCAACAACCTGCAATATGCAGATAACACAGTCTTTCTTGCTAAAATTAAGGAAGACATGAGGCATTTGCTGCAGAAAGTCTTCAGTATGCATTGAAGTGCAGTTTTCAAAATGGATTGAAGCTCAACATCAAGAAAACAAAGATTCTCAACACTGGGACAGTTGACAGCATCATGATAGATGGAAGAGATTGAGACTGTTAACAATTACTGCTTGCTTGGTTCCACAGTCAACACTGTCAGTACCACCATTCAGGAAATTAAAAGAGGAATTGCATTGGGCAAATATGCTGCAGGGACCTCTAGAGTACTGAAGAGCAATGATAGAGAGCTGGACAGTGACTAAAGATAATAGAAGAAGAAGAACCAATGTCTTTGAACTGTGGTGCTAGAGAAGAGTGTTGACAATACCGTGGACTGCCAAAAGAACAAACAGGTCTGTCTTGGAGAGGGTGAAACCAGGATGCTCCTTGGAGGCAAGGATTTTGAAGTTCTGTCTCACCTGCTTTCAGCATGTGGCCAGGAGGGACCAGTCCTTGAAAAAGGACCTTATGGGGGGAACAGTGCAGGAGAGGAAGACCGTAGATTAAATGGATTGACTCAGTGACTGGGGTTATGGGGGGTAAGTGTGTCAGAGCCAAAGAGATTGGCTCAGGATAGGGCAGGATTCAGAACTGTTGTACAAAGGGTCACTATGAGTCATAAGCGAATTGATGGCACATAACAAATTACAATGGTCCAGTGGGTAATAATTTGTGCTGCAAACTCAAAGGTAGGCAGTCCAAACCCACTAGCTTATGTGCAGTTTACAGCCTCTGAAAACTTGCTGGAGGGTCAGCTATGACTCGGTTCTGACTTGATGGCATATAACAAGAACAATGTTTCTGATACTGGACATTCTCAAACTTTAATTTTATGTGTGAAACACTGAAGGGAACTTATTAAAACACAGATACCCTCTCCACAAAAATACACATCCCCTTGCCCAGGAGCCTGTCTCAGAAAGCTGAGTAAGGCTGGAGAATGTGCGTTTTTAAAGTCCTGTGTGTTTTTAGCATCCTTTGTAGCTTGACAACAGTGTTACAGAAAGCACGCTTTTAGAAACAGTGCCTTGGCCCTTTGCTGAGAGGAAATTATTTGATTCAAAATCAAGGACTGTTTCTTCTTTGATCACCTTGAGACTACAACCAACAAAACTCTAGACCTAAGATAGAAGTTAGTACTTGTTCAGTGCTCTTTATTTTCTTATTTTAGACATCTGTCTTTAATTTCTGTGATATGAATAGGACATAAGATGCATTTCACTCATTTCTGAGCACGTGGAAGTTGACTTGCTTTGCTATATTTGAACATTCCTAGATTTTGCTTGTCAAGTGGTTTGTTTTCCCTGGGTCTCCTGTGTAAGTTAGAGAAGGAGGAGAGGTCTGTGGGTGGTCTTTAGAGAGCCTGTCCAGCTGTCTGTGTTAGCCTAGGCAGGATTTGGAATGTCACTTCTCTAGTAACATAGCTGCAGTCTACGGCCACCACCGTGAACTCACCAGATCTAGTAACACAGTGAGGCTTCTTCAACAGGCCCCTTATTAGTCACTGTATTGATTTCATCTATCATCCCACAATCTATAAAAATGCAATTTCTATTAAGGTGATAGAACTCAAGGTTCATTTGGCTTCCAGTTTATGTGCTTCTGTCACCTACTCCCCCCAGTAAAGTAGAAAATACTCTGTAAACCAAAATGGAGGGCTCCATTTCCCACTTCACTCCTCTTTGCGCATCCTGATTGCCTAGGCAGGGGCGCTAAGTTCGAGGTGGGGAACAGAAGTCAAGAAGAGAGTGTGTGATGTGACTCCCTTGCCACTGAACATTCGTAAGACTTGATTTTAAAAATAGGATTTGGAGTTTTAATCAACTTTTCCTTAAAAAAATTAATGCACAAATGGTTTCTCTTGTTATTGGTGATCTACTTCTCTAGCACTGTTTGTTTCAGAATGGGGGGGGGAAAGCAAGATGCAAGATTCCTTGTAGAAGGAAACTGGGACATTTGAACAACCATCCTTTTGGTTAGCGATTAAGCCCTCAGCCACTGAGCTACCCGAGCCATTGTGCTATAAAGTGTAGGCAGGATGTTCTGGAGTGGAGTCTCTTTTAAGGGAGGACAGGGGTGCGAGTCATAATGGCCAGTTAAATAGACCTCCCAGCTTGGTAGTCATACAGCCAGTGACAAGTGTGTGCTGTGTGTCCAGCTCACTTTTTACTTAGTTTTATGTTAATGGGTTATTTTATTTGTTTGGTTTTAAATTTTTTTTTTTTTTAAATTTTTGTGTGAGTGTACCGTCAAATCAGATCTGACTGGTACAGGAGGAGATTGTCCCTCCTTCCCCGGCAGAGCATCTGGTGGATTTGAACCATGCGCCTTTGGGATTGTAGTTGCAGTTCCTTGCCACTAGGCCACCAGAGCTCCCCTTGGTTTTAAATTTTTTATTCACTCATATGTTGACTTTTATAGGGAGAGTATATCTTTTATCAGATTCTCCAGTTAGTGGCTTGAGATCATTAGGAACTTCTGTGAATCTCCCCTGATCTGTGCCTTTAGCATTGAAGGCATCTTTCTTTTTGTTAAGAAAAGAAAAAAAAGTGGTTTTGGCTGGTCCGAAGGGAGTGGGTTCTCTCAGCTGTTGCTTACAGTCTTGACTGTCCACCTCACTACTATGCTTGAGTAGGGGAAAAGATAGTTTGTAGTTAAAAGAAGGGCTTTTAAAAAAAAATAAATAAAATAAAAACTTTTTTTTTATAAGTCACTTTAGTAAACTTGTAGCTTCATGAAGTGAGGGCTAGTCTTTAGTCCTGTTTTTGTGTCTCCCATTGTGGTGTAGCCTGCTGATGGACACTCATTAAACGCCACACTGTGGTTGTTAGGTGTCCTGGAGTTGACTGAAACATGATGACCGAGTGAATGACAGAGTGGAACCTTCTCACTCTCCACCACACCCAAGCCCAGTGGCGGAGTCACTGTGTCAGTCCATCTCGCTGAGGGTCTTCCTCTCTTTTGCTCTTAGAGACTTTTCCCAGCATGATGTCTTTTTCCAAGGAATGGCCCCTCCTGACAAGCTACCCAAAGTCTGTGAGGTGAAGTTTTATAATCTTTGCCCCTAAGGAGGGCTCTGGTTGTACCTCCTCTGTGACAGACTTGTTTGGTTTTTTTGGCAGTCAGTGGTGTATTCAATACTCTTCATCAACGCTGCAATTTCAAGGCTGCTTCAGCCTTCCTTAGTCATTGTTCAACCTGAAGATGCATAGGAAGAGGTTGAATATAAGATGGCTTGATCAGGTGCACTTTAGTCATTAAATCTTGTTCTTTGGCCCTTTGGAGAGGTCCCTGACAACAGATCTCACCACACGGGTAGTTGTGAATTGGTTGAACTCATGTCACCCTCGGCCCTAGTGAGTGTCCTCATTATGTTATTGTTGTGTGCCATTACAGTCTCTTTCAACTCACAGTGACCATATCAAAAAAAGTAGAATTGCCTTCTGGAATTTCCTGGGCTGAAATCATTATGGGAACAGATCACTGGCTTTCCCCTCTGAGGAAGTTGTAGGGTTCAACCTGCTGACCTTTGAGTTAGCAGCCAAGCATTTACTGACTGTGCCACCATGGATCCTTGTCCTCATTATACTGTATTACCTGGCCAACTGACTGGAAGAGATCCATATTTATTCCCACTCCAAAAAAAAAAAAAAAGGTGACCCAACAGACTGTGGAAATTATCAAACGATATCACTTGTATCACATGCACACAAAGTCTTGCTGAAGAGTATCAAAAAACAGAGAACTACCAGAAATACAAGTCGAGTTTAGAAGACACTGTAGCACTAGAGACCAATTTATCACCAATGTCAGATGGATCTTGGCAGAAAGTAAAGAGTACTAGAGGGATATCTATCTGTGTTTCATTGACTATACAAAGGCTTTTGACTGTGTGGATCACAAATTGTGGCTAACCTTGGGAAGAATGAAAATCCAGAACACTTGTTTGTGCTCATGCAAAACCTATACTCAGACAGGAAAGCAGTCCTCAGAACAGAACAAGAAAACAGCATAGTTCAAAATCAAG